AGAGAGAGAGAGAGAGAGAGAGAGAGAGAGAGAGAGAGAGAGAGAGAGAGAATAAATTCCATGTTTTTAATCTTAACTTCTTACGACAGGCTCCAACGGAAAGTTGAGAAATTACTAATGACAACACAACACGAACTACGAAACGAAAATGGATGATTCCCTTAACTGATTTATAAACGCCAATACACACAGCAAGATTTATTCCTCAGCTTTTTTAAAAAGTGTATCATTGACAATGCTGCGTGATATTCCACGGGTAGGATATAGGGCTATCAGTAAATGCTGGACTGGAAATAACTCGAAAAGTTAAATCATTATTATTCTATACACAAATCATGCATCTGTGGATGTTTGTCGGGTACAATGGTGAGGTTTGCTCCAATTGTTTTCGATCAAACATTTGATTTTTCTATCATCTATCTCTCCTCCTTCTGTTTTGTGTTTGTTACTCTCTTGTAACACCTCTAATCTTCGGCACGTATATATAACCAAATTGTGTTGCAAGTGAGGTAAAGCTCTTATTAAAACTAAACTAAAACATGCGTCTACCATAGACAAAACGTTCTAAGATCCTTCTCCCCTGTTTCAGTTTCCATATTAATCTTCAGTCGTTCCTCTTGAGCATTCTGTCCAGGATTTCTCTGTACTTTGAGCTCATGCTGAAATACACAAAGATGTTCACCGAGGAATTTACACCCTCTAATGGTTTTAGAAATGCCCAGATAAGCACACACAAATTATGGTATCTGCCGCCAATATCGTATGCAGGATATGCTATCATCACTATAAGGTTGACTATACTCGGTAAATAACAAATGATGAATATGCATGAAATAAAGATAATCATGTTTATGACTTTTTTGTCTCTGTTCGAAACAGATTCCTGCTTGACACAACTCGAAGTCGACTGCCGCCATTTTGAATTCCGTAGAAGATTCTGGACTAGAATTGCTGTGCAGACGATAACGGCAGAAAAAGAGGCAAATTGAGAGAAGATATTGACAGACGTAAAAACGTTCTCGATAACTATGCCGTTAGCTACGTACACCATTACGATCTTCGTTTCATTTATCATGGGCAAATATTTTGGCTCTAAGCGGATTGAGTAAAACACTGGTGCAACAGTGGCAACCATACTGAAATAAATCCCAACGAGTGCGTAGATGGTTCGCCGCGGTGTAATGATCGCTTTCACCTTGAGAGGAAGAGCAATGCAGAGGCACCTCTCAAACGTAACAAAGGCCGTGATCCAGCCACTGATCCGGGCCAGACAAAGGTGGGGCCACCCTCCCGTGAGGTAAGCCACGCTTTGTAGGTCAAAGGGCAGGTCTGCCTTGGCGTACCAGGGATTGTAACAAACGCTCAGCCACAGAAGAGCAAGCGACGATAGCATATCGGAGACGGCCAGGACAAGCAAAGAAATGTTCACGGTGTCTTTAAAACCTTGCTTAAAGAAAATGATTATGTTGATGGCGTTGAAGACAATACCGAAGAAGCTTATGAATCCCACAAGGATGTAGAGAACTGTGCTGGAGATGTTTAGTAATTGGCCTGACACTATGCCTGTCTCAGCTATTTCTGATGATGCAGGCAGGCTGATATTTCCAGGAACCATCTCTGGTTTTAACTGGCTTTCGTCCTCAAATCTGCTGTCGTCCACTGTCTCTGAAGTATAATTTTTGTAAACGCAAAAATGTTAAAAGACGGTTAAAACAACAGTAAACAGCGACAAGAACATCAGTAGCAGCAGCAGCAAAACAAAGCCAAAAAAACCCAACCCAACAAAAAAACAAAAAAAACAAACAACGAAACAAAACCAGGGCCTGTGAGAAATAAGTTATTAAAAATACATTATGTTAAAACGTACACTCTACAGGTTGTATCGTACAATGTGGGGGATAAAAAAAAGCGGGCCCGAAGTAGAACATTGCAACTTCTCAACAAGTTTCACGTATTTAAATGAAAGGATAAACATATCCTTATTTTTTTTGTATAATCCCCAGGGGTG